CTTTTGCCCAGGTTCTACATAGCAGCCTGCAGTAAGGGTTTTTGAATTATAACTTTCTGGTCCTATTACCTGAGTGTTAAGACTCCAATCTGAGCCCCCAGAGGCCTTTTTATAGGAAATGGCCGTAGAATAAAAATACAGGATGTTATTGAACCGACATTCAGTAAAAGAAGCATAACAGGATGAGTGCATAGCTTCGACGAAATTACAATCAGAGGGGCACTCACCATTAGCTGGTGGTAAGATAGGTTTAGGCTTAGACACACATTTCCAGCTCTGTTGGTGATGCTGAGTAGGTGTACCATGAATACCAAGATATGCAATCCTGTCTCCACAATCTACAGACCGGAAATATGTACCAGGGGGGTCTTCCCAATGGCCACCTCTACATTCACAAGGGGGACCATACCAGGTTAGCATAAATCTGGTAGCATTAAATGGTTGAAGGCCACCTCTTATGTTTTTGACTAAAAGTATAAGGGTCAGAACTCTGGTTATTAATTTTTGACCAGTCTTATCTTTAAAGGGTTTGATGTTCGTGTCAGTCGCCATCTCTCTTGCGGCTCTCCTGTTTGGGACTCCTCCTGGTGCGCAGGTTCTGCCGCTTTGACGTATGAGGCGTGGATCCAGGCTGCGATCCCGTCCACTTTAAGGGCTGTAGGGGTGGTGAGGAGGACTGTGCACGGTCCTTTCCAGCGAGGCTCTAAGCTTCGAGCCTGATGTCTCCGGACCCAGACGGTGTCACCTGGTTGGAAGGGATGGGGGGCAATAGGGGTGTTAACAGCATCTTGGTAGGCTGCTGCCAGGGGCTTCCAGATTTCTTCGTGTGCCAGCTGCAACGCTCGCAGGTGCGTCTGCAGGGAAGGGGTGCTAACAAAGTTAGAGATGTCTGGATCAAGAAAAGAGACAGCCGGGGGAGGGGTCCCGTACAGAATTTCAAAGGGGGTTAATCCACTGGGCCCAGGAGTATTCCTGGCCCGATATAGGGCTAGGGGGAGGAGGGTCACCCAGTCCTTAGTGCCAGTTGCCAACGAAAATTTAGTTAAAGCCTCCTTAATAGTTCTATTCATTCGTTCTACCTGGCCTGAGCTCTGGGGTCTGTAAGCACAATGTAATTTCCATTCGATCCCCAGTAACCTGGCCACTGTCTGACTTACCTGGGAGATGAAGGCCGGCCCGTTATCTGACCCTATTACCTGAGGCATCCCGAATCGAGGAAAAATGTCTTCCAATAGCTTCTTAGACACCATCTTAGCAGTTTCTGTCTTCGTCGGGTATGCCTCTGGCCATCCAGAGAAGGTGTCAATGAAAACTAGCAGATACTTGTATCCATATATTCCTGGCTTAACTTCAGTAAAATCGACTTCCCAATGGACCCCAGGCCTGTGACCTCTTTGCCTCACTCCTCCCTGGGCTTTATTTTTGCCCCAGTTCACCTGGGCACAGGCTTTACAGTTCTTAACAACATTTTGCAGGATGGCGTCTTTGTTTGGGAGATAATGAATAGCTTCTTCTCGCTCGATTAGTTTTTTCATTTTGGTTACTCCCAAGTGGGTCCACCTATGAAGTTCATCTAGGAGTCCCTCCACCGATCGCTGAGGCAGGACGGTTTTCCCTTGGTACTCCCAGTATCCTGTTTCTGGGTTGTTGAAAGCTCCAATTTTCTCAAGTAATTTTCTGTCCTCTGGAGTGTAGTCTCTGGTGGCCTCCTGCCTTTTGCGTTCAGTGTCAATTTGCGCGGTTAGTATTTGGCTCTTGGAGGCAATGTCCCTGGCCGTCTGGTCAGCTAGGCGATTTCCTCTTGCCTCGGGGTGGTTTCCTTTCTGGTGGCCTGGGCAATGCATAATGCTGAGTTCTTTTGGTAAGAACAAAGCCTCTAGTAGTGCTATGATCTCAGCTTTGTTTTTTATTTCTTTTCCCTCTGAAGTAAGAAGTCCTCTTCTTTTGTAAATCTCTCCATGGATATGCACAGTGGCGAAGGCGTATCGGCTGTCCGTATACACGTTTAGCTTTTTGCCTTCCGCCAATCGCAGGGCCTGTGTCAGGGCCACCAGCTCAGCTTTTTGTGCAGATGTCCCTTCTGGTAAGGGCTCTGCCCATATTACTTTGTTGTCCGAGGTGACTGCTGCCCCCGCCCGGCGTTTACCTTCTGCAAGGAAACTGCTCCCATCCGTGTACCA